TCCACGAGTTAGTGATCATGATCGACAGTGGCAACAATATGTAGAAATAAATTCTCATGGATGTAAAAACAAGGTAATCATGGTCCGGATGGTAAGACATCATACAATAAGACCAATAGAAGAGAAGCAATAGGTAAGCCATGCACAAAGAAGTGTAGATCTCTAAGCCAGATAATTAACCCTTCCGTCAGTGAGGGATAATCAGTTTGAATACGAGGAACAGCATCGCCAGTCACCATGCTAGTCTTAGCTTCTAGGAGGGTGCCCTGAAAAGGTGCATAAGGCTGGTGTTCAGAAGTGTCACTCCGCGATGCCGAAAGTATACTCCAGAATGACGCTACGCTTTACCGAAATAAGCATCTAGTGATAATAAACCCACAGCGATCATGATTCTGAAACCGGAACAAAAGCAGGGACTGTATGCTGATTGCGGTTACTGATGTAATATTATAATAGCCGCCAATGGCTAGCATTAGCCGGTCTTTGCGCCTGAAAAATCCGAATGGTGGCGTCCTGGAGGAGCTTAATCCTGGCGTCTGATAGTGTGGGGGTCATGAAGGTCGTGCGTAAGAACTAAATCTCGGCTAATGTTTGATTGACAAGCATGGAAATGCTATACGACTCTCTGACCCTCCAGTAACGCATGGGTCAAGGTACAATGGTTACATAGACCAGGTTAATGTATCGTCACCAGCAAGCAGGTTGACCAGAGATTGTGTCTGTTATCGCAAGGAAAGGATTTTACTTGCGAGAGTAGAGACTGTCCAAAAATTAGGCATAGTACTACAAACGTTTAAACCATGGAAAGGTGGTATCGGGAGAGGACATGGGACGGAATTTTGTTTTGCACCTGAGACAACAGAGAAGAGCGACCTTGTCAAGAGGATTGAGAAACCACACAAAGTACCTTACCTGCTTTGTTCAATGACTGGTGGCTGGGGAAGAGTCAACTGGCTGTACTCACTAACGAGTAAATCGTTACTTAATCGTTCTGAAACACTAGCACTATACATTCAGCTGACGTATCTCGGTCCACATAAATGATCTTTCACCGATTGACAAGGGAGTATTTGAATCGGAGTCCCTCGAAAAAAGCTAACATCCGAATCAGTTCAGCAACAATTGGTTTTGGATTTTATCAAGACTACGCTGAAAGAGCTTTTCATGAAGAAGCCTCATATCCCCGGAAGAACCCGGCAGACGAACATTGCTACAAAGCTTTGCCCTAAGTTGCCGCAGCTCACCCACTTAATCAAAGCTTGGGTAGTTTCTTTTTCCACTGCAGCTGAAATTATGTCATGGATTTGCTGCATACAGCCGACTTGAAGCAGATAGATGGCCGAAAATGGCCATAGCTTGCGAATGGCGATCCGAAGCCGACCCACTCACACACAAAATTCCCTCCTCAAAGGTGACACATATGAATACGGAGACACTCTTACTTTGGAGAACAGGGATATTGATTATGATAACTTTAACTTAGAACTCTTAGTCTGTGCGCCATCAAGGGACTGACTCAATTTATTAAGCTCATTTCCACAGACTCCTTCGGCCCTCAAGATCATACATCCTGAAGCCCAATTGGCTAAGCCGAGACGGCCTATGATTATCATTTTCACGGTGTTGGAACAGATCTCGCGTGTTCTTACCCTGGATCGGACCTATCTGGCAACCCTTGCAAGGGCAGATAGGAGGACATTGTCCCTTGGCGGTCCCGCGGCTGCGTCACACAACCAGAGCTTACGTGCCTTCGTACCACAACCATTTTACGTCAATTTAGTTCTTAGTGGACAATTGATGAAATCCCATGTAGTATGATGACCAACGAAGGTAGTGCAACGATTCAGGCTTGCGAAAGTGCCTTCCACAGTCATAGCAGACAATCTATATTCCTTCTAGTGAGGTAATGCCATTGTTATTCGTACCGAGGGCCATGGTTGCCAGTTGGAATTTCCCACCCGAGATGATCGGCGCCGTGAGCTTAATACTACAGTCAGGCTGCCTTTCAAGCCTAACAAGATTTGTGAATATGGAATGTGTGAGTGTGACTTCCCGTGCCTGAGTGGATCCTGGACCCATCGAACCAGTGAAAAGGCCTGCCCACGAAGCAATCAATCACAATGCCAGTCAGAGCCTGTAGCCAAGGGTCTATCACGCGCTGCCTTGCCAAGGAAGGAAGGGCTGAAGTCGATCGCCATTTCATTGGAAGAGAGCGATGCCAGGACCACACCATTAGATTTTTATCTGATCCCACACTACGTTATCTGATCCGCGCTGCCATCGCCCATTCGTGCCAGTCAAGATGCATGATGCCTGGGTTCACCCAGAGATCTACATCGGGAAGCGCGCCTCGTGCAAAATGGATACACTACTCCTGCATGCGATGCTCCGATGCTCGCAGCCTGTCCGCTCCCTCGGAATGTTGAAAACCGCACTCATGGCCGCCTCGTCGTCGCACATTACCTGATCACGGAGGACTACGCCCTGAGGACTATCAAACTACTCACATTCCTTACCTCTCTTTTGATTTAGTGGTCACCAGCCATGAGCCCTACCCTCATCACTCGAGGCCGCAATGATGTGCAGCTAGCACAAAATGTGGCTGGTGCGGATTTCAAAGACTTCAGCTACGAGGTGGAAGTCACCTCTCCCAGCAACGGAGAGGAGAATCCTGATGAGATCACTCTTGAGGCCTGGCAAGCGGACGAGGCTCAAAAGTCGGCCAACGTGGTGACCCACGATGCACCTCGTGGTATGCAGCAGGCGGAGGCTGCAGCATTGGCTTGGAGTAAGAAGATGGCTTATCTCACTTATGCACTGTGAGTCCCCCACTCCTATAATGATATCTCATATCTGACATGATCTGTTTCCGACCACAGGATCTGGCTTTCCTTCTTTATGTTAGCGCTACAGTCCTCGGTCAGCAGCAATGTGATCCAGAACGCCTACGCCAACTTTGAAGCTGCCCCTGAAGTGAGTACGGCAGGCATTGCAGCTAGCGTGATCAGTGGCGTCGTCCGACTTCCTGCAGCGAAGTTGTTGAACGTCTGGGGAAGAACGGAAGGGTTCCTAGTCTTCGTCGGTGTTTACCTCCTTGGACTTGTCATCCTTGCAGCATGCAACAATCCCAGCTCCTATGCAGCCGGTTATGTTCTGTACTGGGTCGGATATGATGCTGTCTATCTCATCCTCGATGTCTTCATGGCCGATACTGCCGGAATGCGTAACCGAGCTTTCGCCTTTGGTTTCGCCAGCACTCCTTTTATCTGCACTGCATTCACCGGCCCCTTGGCTGCCGAGTCAATCATCAAGAGAGCATCATGGCGATGGGGATACGGTATCTTTGCTATTGTGATGCCGTTTGTATTCATTCCTCTGGCTGTGATATTCAAATTCTACCAACGAAAGGCGGAGAGTATGTATATCTACGGTCGGGAGCCAAGTGGCCGGACTTTCTGGGAATCAGTAGTCCACTACTTCCATGAATTCGACGGTAAGCACAATCCTCTTTGTTTCAATTGACATCTCTGACTCTCCTGCAGTAATTGGTGCATTCCTCTTGACCGCTGCCTTCCTCCTCCTCCTACTCCCATTCAGTCTCGCATCTTACGGACGCGCCGAGTATAAGAGTGCCGCTTTTATCTCCATGATCATCATTGGATTCGTGCTGTTCGTTTTATTTGGCCTCTGGGAGCGATTCGGGGCGCGCAACCACTTCATCAAGTGGCGCGTTTTCAAGCAGCCCACGGTAATAGGGGCTTGCGGTCTTGCAGCCTGTCTCTTCTTCAGTTACTACACATGGGAGCTTTACTTCTACAACTTCTGCATGGTTGTTTACGATCTGAGTATCGGCATGGCCGGCTACGTCGGGCAGATTTACAACGTTGGCTCGTGCTTCTGGTCTGCTGTGTTCGGCATAACGGTCTATGTCACCCGGCAGTTCAAGTATACCTGTTTGGGATTCGGACTGCCCTTGGTCCTACTAGGGGCAGGGTTGATGATCCACTTTCGATCGGCCGGTGGAGGCATCGGGTATATTGTGATGTGTCAGATATTCATTGCCTTTGGAGGTGGCACACTGGTCATTGGTGAAGACATGGCTGTCATGGCTGCCTCTGATCGTGAGGGAGTCCCCATGATGCTTTCCCTGATTGGTCTTTTTTCAAGTCTAGGTGGTGCAGTAGGCTACGCAGTTGCCGCTGCCATCTACACCAACACCTTCCCTGGTGCACTGAGGGATGCATTACCCGAGGGCAGCAAGGACAAAGCGATGGAGATCTATGTGGGCGGGTACCTCACGCAGCTCGAGTATCCCGTTGGTTCCGCCATTCGTGATGCGATCAATGCGGCCTATGGGGTCTACATGAAGTATGCGTGTATTGCGGCTGTAGTGGCTATGGCGATGGGGATTCCTTGCGTGGCCATATGGAAGAACTTCAGGCTGAACAAGCCACAACAGAACAAGGGCCAGGTGATTTGAGGATGTGTGTATAGAGGTTCTGTAGAGTAGGATACAAGATACCATGATAGTCATTGCTTCCATAATAGTCATTGCTTCTATGATTGTCATTCCTTCTATGATTGTCATTCCTTCCGTAATAGTCATTGCTCCATGTTAGTCACTGCTTTTATAGTAGTCGTTGCATCTGTTGTAGTCGTTGCGTCCATAATAGTCACTGCTTCCATGATGGTCAGGCTACTACGCTGATTTTTCACAAAGACTCACCGGAGTAGAATAGCTCCGCCATAACGTAACGGTAGAAGATGATAGATCAAACTCCGAAGACCTCTCGTTAAGGAAAAGCCCTCCGAGACCCGAGTGGGATCACTTTGCTGCCCATCACAAGCGTCCCAGAAGCCATTCTATCTTGGCAGCTGCCATCAGAAGAAGAGAACCAGCCGACGACAAGCGCACCAGCCCAATCATAGGCAACCGTGACCGCCGAACCCACCCGAGACACGCACGGTGAGCAGACTATGAACGCGCTAACACGCAGAAAATGGCTCAGGTGGAGCCGTGCGATGGCCTTGCCTTACTCAATGTGGAGATGATGAGGCCGATCCGCGTCGGTGATAAGATTGATAAATGCTGGGCGATGTCGGAACTTGTGCGCCCCTGGCCCTACCTCGCTCAAGACATCCGGGAAGTGACGCACAACGTCCATTCTATGTGGGCTGGTGGGGTTCCAGACCCGTGGTTCCAGCGCTATACTCGCTTCCCTCTTACTCGCGTGCGGACTATTGTCCACTATCGTCTACTTGCACCAGGCTGCCGGTGTCACCCCGGACATAAACCCCTCTTGCCCCAAGCACGTCGACTGGCCAGTGCAGCGTCTCTATCCGACCTCGACTATGCACGAAACAATACGCCCGCGACAATGTCTTCCAGCTCCCAGCACGCCAGGAAATGGTCGACGATGCCGATCGACACGAATGCGGCCCCGTTCTTGAGCCTCGACTACGAGGATGAGGTTGTTTACGAGGACGACCAACGCCAAACCATCAAACACGCCTCCATCTGTGGGCTGGTTGAGCAACTGACACGCCACGATCGGCTAGATGTTTCATTCAACGAGACCTTTCTTATGACCTACCCGACCTTCGTCTGCGGCCGGGAACTCTTTGAGATTCTCCTCCAACGACTGAACATGCCCCCACCTCCAGGCCTCAGCGACTCTGACCTCTCACGATGGACCGAACAGAAGCAGAAGACCGTCCGCTTCCGTGTCATCAACATACTCAAGACCTGGCTGGAGCGGTACTGGATGGAACCACCCACTGAATCAACAATGGACTTCCTCCGACACATCCACGCCCACGTTCAACCTCTCGCCAACGTTCCCACTGCCTCGCAACTCATCACCATCATCGAGCACCGCTTGAAGGGTCAAGACATCCTCAAACGTTACATGACTCCCCCAAACAGCACCGTGCCGAAACCACTTACCCCGAGGAACATGAAGAAGCTCAAGCTCCTCGACCTGGACCCGATGGAGATCGCTCGCCAACTTACCATTATCGAATCACGTCTCTTCGCTCGAATCAAACCTACCGAGTGTCTCAACAAGTCGTGGCAGAAGAAAGATACCGATAGACCACTATCTATTCCTCCCTCACGCCGCACCAGCACCAGCACAACCAGCAGCACCAGTTCTATCGAACGCACCACCGGTGTCAACGCCACGATTCTACACTCCAACCAGCTCGCCAACTGGGTGGGAGAGATGATCCTGGCCCACGATGAGATGAAGAAGCGTGTCTCTATGATCAAGCAGTTTGTCAATATTGCCGACGTATGCTCCCCCCTTGCTCTGACAGTCTCAACCCACATGCTAACGCAGAGTGCTATCAATAGAACTGCCGTACCCTCAACAACTTCGCAACCATGATGTCCATAATCTCCGGCCTAGCCACAAGCCCCATCTACCGTCTCCACCGCACCTGGACGCAAGTGAGCCCCAAGACACGCAAACTCCTCGAAGACATGCAAAGCCTCATGTCCAGCGACAAGAACTTTATCAAGTACCGAGAAAAGCTCCGCGCAGCAGGCCCACCACGCATTCCCTTCCTCGGTATGCATCCTAATCAACTCCCCGCCTCCTTTCCAACTAGATATTACCATACTAACACCAAACCGTAATGAAGGAACCTACCTAACCGACCTCACCTTCATCGAAGACGGCATCCCAAGTCACACCCCGCCCCCGAACGTGATGATAAACTTCAGCAAGCGGATCAAAGTCGCTGACACCCTGCGCGAGATTGAAAGCTGTCAGGCTGTCGGGTACAGTTTGCTTCCTGTGCCTGAGATACAGGAGTTTATTGTCCGGAATGTGCAGGCGGCGGGAGGTGATGTCGAGGGCATGTATGAGAGGAGTTTGACGTTGGAGCCGAGGATGGCTGGTGAGGAGAAGATGAATATGGGGCAGCTGGCGGTGGGTATGGTTGGGATGAATATGGGGAGGGGAGGGTATATTTCTACAGGAAGTCATATGAGTTCGGTGGTTATTGCTAGTATGGCTTTGCGGTAGTTGAGGGTATGACAAGAAGCAGGGCTTATGAGGTATGATGTTATGAGGTTATTGATATGGTTTGGTTTGGAGAACTAGGTGTTTCAGGATATCGTGTTAACTGGTTGAGGTGGCTTCTTCGGTTCTTTATGAGATAGCATGTTGTAATCGATAGAAGATAGGCTTTCGCACTATGTCCATTGCAAAAATTGTTCAAAATAAAAGCTTCCAGACTGTATCTAGGGCTAATTAATATTGTCTCTCTTCAACCGTATGAAATGCACAGCACATCAATTCAGTCAGACATAGATCAAAATCTCCACAGCAGGTAATTTAACACAAAATACAGAACCAAAGCAATAATCTAAACAACATTCCCCATCCCGACAGGGAGCGACACCCTTCAAACCAATAAACCATACATAATACACAAGAACGAAATCAATAACCGAAATCCCAATCCCAATCCACAAAAACTTCCTACTCAACCGCAATTCTCACCTGATCAAAATCAACGACAGCCCTGAATTCCCTAAACTTCACATAAACAGTAACAACAACACCCCGCCCATTATACTCCGCCTCTCCCGGAGGCACTTTAACGGCAAAGGACGAAGTCTTGGGACCGGGGAACCGTTCGCGGAATGCCTCCATATTGGCGAAGCGAATAGCCACGGCGTCGACGTATGCCTTATCGGTTTCAAAGTCAACGGCGACGGAGGTTATGTTGGGGTTCTCGCGTGGTGGAGCGGGGAGGATGAAGTGCACGGCACCCTGCTTTGCATCGGGTCTTGATGGCTGCACGATGGCGCCGCCTCTGTCCGGGCGGATTTTGAGGGCCGGGTCGGCGATGGCGCCGGAGCCGGGGCCTTGGAGCCAGATTGCCATTTTGGTTGTGTGTGTGGGTGGCTTTGGGTGTTGTTAGTTGGGGGGATGTGTTTGGTGGAGAGGGTATGGGTTGTACTCACACTTGTTTTGGTTGTAGGTTGAATGAGGTCTGATTGTCTTGTAGTAGTAGAGGATGTTGTTTGGTCACTGAGTGCTATCTGGGATAAGACCAGACGGGACAGGGACTTATATAAGTATTTGAAAAGGATACGGAGTTAGCATCATTGTCCATTGGTCGTTGTATGAAGCTACCCAAGAGAGTCGAGGCTCCAGGAAGGCGACGTTGTCCACTTCCATTAGCTGGGGAATCAGCTTGCAGTGTGTTGTAGAGTGGGCATTGGTGAGCAATATTGGAACGAGGCGACCAATTGATGTGAACACATTGTGATGCTAAGGGCTTAGTTTATCTTGTCATCCAAGAAGTTTCTGTACGTGGTGAGAAGGAGAAACAAATTATGAAGAAGATGAATGCATCTGGGATAGTTCGTTACGTGAGGCAAAGTATGAACAGCCTCCCCTTGACTACGGCATTAACAGAGGTATTATAGGCACGTGACTACTTGTCCCTGAGTTATAGTGCTAAAGTCACCCAAAAACCCCGGTCGCACGTACTAAATCGGACATTATAACCTACAAATAGGCGTAGATCGACAGGAGAAGGTATGGCCTGCTTGGTAGCAATATTCGCGTTCCATAATGGTTGGGTAGAAATGCGGCCTTACGATGAAATGTGGTCTCCATGAACAGATACAACGACACGTGCAAGTCCCCATTCCCACCCAATGTATGAGGCAGTGGGCACATATAATTAGCTCGCGAATGCTGATCCGGGTGCGCTGTTCAGCAAGGCTGAGGGTCCAAGTGTGGGTATCCCTCGGCCAAGTGTCGGTGAAGCTGACAAAGCGGGTAGCGAGGGCAAAGAATGAGGAATTCGAAAGAAACGAATGGTCTTGATCAGTAGCACTATGTAGGCACCCACTAGTGACTCACGGGTCTAATGTTCTATCACGGTGCGCATCATTGCCTATCTATTGTTTGAAACATGTTGGAGCGCTATAGGAAGTCGAGAACATTTATCCCTAGAATGGGGTTAAGCGAGTCCTCGACACCGACCAATTCACAGGATCAGAAGACAGAATCACAGAATTAATTTGTGTATAATTCTATTTGTATGTATAAATCGAGCATAAAGATTGCAGCCTAATATCCAAACCTAACTCAATATACACTCGCGCATATGCGCCATACTATATGGCGGTGACTTCAAAGTCATAATACATGGGTATCTTGAGCAATGACTCCAGTAAGCAATATCAACAAGAAGGGGAGAACTGTAAAGCTCTCAGGGGAATAGACATCTACAGATGCCTAAATGAGGAAGGAGACGTCACGATTGGGTGAGCTGCCTCTGGCTCCGACGAGCCTTTTCAATAGCGCAGTGGCCAAGTCGGATCAACTCAGCCACGAAATCCGTGACTGTTTGCATATGTGCAATCTCTACTTCCGACGTGCGTCGTCGTCGCATGTCCCTGACAAGGTCCGGGACCACCTTCAGTAGATGTAGATCTTCTTCGACATATGGATCAAGTGGGTTCGCTAAAATGCTGCAAAATATGGTGAGGATGGCAGACATGGGATAGAAAATAATCATCCTATGTGCCATGTTAGTACTGATAGATCGGGCCATGATAAATCATATGACAACGCACCAAAAAGCCTCAGGACGCACTGAGCCAATGACCGTACGAAGAAAATGCAGCGAGGACCGACTAGCCTCCACGGCTAGGAGCATGCTTGAATTCACACCCTCCATCATTCCGTTCTGGCAACTTCTCCATTGTTGACCCCAGGCTTCACATCGACCACTGGCGCGATGGATGGTGCACATCATATAATGATATTCCAGTCGGATGACAATCGGTTGCATGCGGTATATTGGTATCGGATGCTGTTCCTGGAAAGTCCCGAGGGTTGGACGGTGCCCGGGTGGTACATTTAGGCGCCATTGTTCAAGTTCGTCGTCAAGCTCGCGGATATCTTGTAGCAGTTGGGCGTCGGACTTGCGCAGCGCTTTAGCAGAGTAGAGTGTTCGGTAGGTTTTAGACTTGAGCATCGTCAATCGTAGATCCCCCGGAAAGATGGGTATGGTCATGTCGTCGTAGCGGATAGGATTGCCCTCTGTGCTAGGGTATTGAATTTCGGTATAATTCGGTGGAAGTGTGAGATCGCAGTATTCATCGTGGATAACTGGCGGTTGGCCGGACCGGAAACATATCTCCTTGTCGAAGCCATAACAGAGCCAGAATAAGCGACGAAGCATTCGTTGAGATCGCCATTTTCGGTCCTGGGGATCTTTTGAGGACTCTCGGAACGCGTCTACCGTCTCGCTTGTCTCTCCACCAAGCATGAACATGACCCGACATGCCATGGAATGAAATTGGTTGGCTAATTGTAGTTCGCCTGTGAATGTTCGGTATATAGCCTGGAGTCGCAATCAATGAGATGGGCGCTTGGCTGTCAGTGGGTGGAATCAGTTCTCACCTGCATGACCATGGTCTGTAACGTAGGTACACTGACATCGTGCAGAATATACGGGAGGAGGCTTTGCGCCTTGGCAGCGTAGACCGGAGGATCGACCGGGGAAAGACTTGGGGCAGGATCAAGCTCGGCAATGAATGAAAGGAATGCAAGGATACATGCTCTAGACCGGGTACATTCCACAGGCGGAGGCCCATGACATGGTCGATACGCGAGCTCCACGGTATCCCGAAAAAGAACTTCATCCACCACAGGAAAGACCATGCGTTCACCAGAAGTGAAGAAGTGGCTCACGTACTGTTCCACCAACGACCGGTCTGGAAGGTCCGGTGTGACAGAGTGGTTGTAACCATTCTGCGGATGGGGAGTCGTCAGGTGAGGGACCTGGTTTGGGTATTTGTGCGACCAGACATCCTCGAATGTGCCAGGCTCGCCCGTACAGGATCGCACCCACTCCTGGCCGGACTGTGAGAAGCAAGGGATACCACTGTATGTCCGAACCTCACCCAGATAGTGACCGGCAAAGTGGATCTTCCCGAACAGTAGGCCACTACTGGGAGCCGGATTATCCGTCTGAATAAGAAGCTCCGTCGATTCAGCCAAGCTCGGAGACTGCTCAGTATCCAGATGGCCTTTCTCCAATAAAGAAAGACAATTCCTGGGGTGCTGCGTAGTCGAGATCGACCGTGTGAGAAGCTCCTCAAGCTTCCGCACCCTGTCCTCCAGGTCTTCCTGGTGAGGTCGTCTCAAGGGTCTGAAGAGTTAGTGGAATGCCACATGGAACAAAACATACAATCTCACCTTGGATTGGCGGGTTGAGTGGTCTTCTTTCGTTTGTTCCCGCCAACAGGCCTATCAAAGGTACAATCCAGGTTATGGTGGCGGCACCAATTACAGGGGACCGATGTATCACATTGGATCTGACCCGCGGGAAAGGTTAATAGACTATTGCAAATTGGACTGAAAGTGGACACCCGAAGCGCAACCTACTTTTCTCCGATGGCACGAGTCACAGGCCCGAGCAGTACGCCGAAGGGGCACATACCGATCCCCCTCGGGGGTAGGGCTGGACTCCGGCACGCGCGCCTGCATGTTACAATGTCGATCCAAGGGATCCCAGGGACAAAAGCGCGAGTGGGGACCAATCAGCAAAAATGACAGCAGGTGCTATGGACCGCCTAAGGCAAGAGCTAAACCGAGCAATGGTATGTCAATGGGGCTGCGCGCATATCCGCACAGCAGAACATGACAATCCCTTTGAGGTTCGACGCGCCACCGAGACATCCGGCTCGGTCCTGCCGCTTAGTCATCGGTACCGGCCACTGGCTCTCCGGTAACCCAATTGGGATATCCTTTCAATATATGCCATATCATGATAATGCGAAATAAAAATAGAGAAAGATAGGGGATTATACTCAACATCGGTACGTTTAATTTCCCGCCATAGGATTTTTAGCTCATGAAAATCTCGGTGGCATTCATGCACTGCCATCATCTCTTTTCGGCAATATCGGGTTCAACCGCCAAAAAGAGGGCCTTGAGCCGCGGCTATTTTAGTGATATCCGCATTGGGTTTACCGTTAATCAAAGTGCCTCGGAGTGTCTCGGCTACACACATATTATTTGCTGCGTGGCCTGATTGTTAACTCCGAGCTGCCAGTGGGCCTGACAGGGTCACATTTATGCACCTGAAATGAAGGGCTCGAGGAAAGGTCATAATTATGCAGACATATGCTATGTCATGTTGTCCACCCGGAGGACCACGTTAAGCCATTGCTATGGTTATGAATGAGGCAGCTATCTATGTCTTCGACCTAATCTCCCATCGGATACCTTATTCTGCACCACCATTTATCCTTCACTTCTGAAGACAATCATCCTGCCACCGGTGTTTCTGCTCAAAGCCCAACAACTCCTTCATCTTTCTATTAGTCACTGGGGCCTCCTTCTCCCCCATCTCCCTCGTAATCAGAACATTGGGGCACATCTTCTGCAAGAACTCCGCCGTGCTCGCAGTATTGGTAATCTCATCATTCACCGCATTAAAGACCTGGAACCCCAATCCATCCGTAACAATGCCCCGCTCAAACATCAGCCCGATATCTCTGGCATCCGTATACGCCCATCCATGCACCTTGTACTGCTTCGGCGAATGCACGTACTCCTCAAACCGACTCCGCATTTCCTCCGGCGCGACAATAGCGCCCAGTCGCATGACATAGATATCGGTCCCGAATCGCCGAGCAAAGCTCCGTGCTGTACGTTCCCCAATCACTTTCGTCAGACCATACACGTCCATCGGGTTGGTATCTACCTCCTCGTCAACCGGGAACGAAGGATAATCGACATCCCCTTCTGCAAAAGCAACCCCGTACGCGCAGAGTGAACTGGCAGTTATGATCTTCGGTACGCCTATCCGACATGCGGCTTCGATCACATTATAGGTGGAGAGAGTATTGCCTCGAAATGTCTCGTTATCAGGAACGATCATGTTCCGTGCGTACCCAGCTAGATGAATGACGGCATCGGGGACCTGGCGGAGGGGTTCACGGAAGGGTTCGGTGAGATGGAAATGGGAGTGCAGGGCGCCATGGACTTGGCCGTTGTCGGTGAGATCAACTTTGAGGGTATGGACTTTGTTACTGAGGGGAGCGGTAAGTGGGTTCAGGTCCAGGTTGAGGATGTCGTAGTTCTGGGCGAGGAGGTGGGCAATGATGAATTGGCCGGCTTTGCCGGAGCCACCGGTGATGATGATGCGTTTGGACATAGTGGTGGATGTAAAGGAGTGATCTTTAGAAGTTGAAGGGTAGTTTGGGACATGTTGTGAACAGGAACTGCTGTTGCCTTGGTCTCAGTGGTTTTGTTGCTGGTGCGGGGGTTCGTGGGGGGTCGGGGAATGTCCGGGGAAAGGGCTACTGGAGTGGTTTATTGGATTTCTGGTTCGCGGTGGGACCATCATTACCCATTGTAGATTATACCACAGTGTAGTACTCCATAGTCCGTAACAATATTACTTTGTATTATATACCAGGAAAGACATATCTTCAACTGACAGAAGGATCCGATCGCCATGCAGGATTTATCCAGAAAAGATACTCCGGCGCCAATAAGAATGTTTGGCCCCCGAAACTTGCAGCTAAAATCTCACATGACCATCCATGCCCCTCGCGATCCCTCACCGTCTCGCAAGTCGCCTCAACTCATCTCAACTCGCAAACTCTAGCATCGCAAGTTCTATTTTGTCGCTGCTTATATTGGGAGACAGACTATATTCTCCTAACCTCCAACCCTAATACGCCTCACTCTACACCACCTTCAGAATGTTCCCTCCCGCACCCCGCCCCCGCATCGCCTGCTTCCACGGCGGTGGCTCCAAAGGCGAAATCTACAAGATTCAATGTTCGCGCCTCGCCAGCTTGCTCGAAAACGACTTTGAATTCGTCTTTTTCGACGGTCCCTATACTCGCGACGCCGGTCCCGGCGTCCTCCCCGCCTTCCGCGGCTACGAGCCATACAAATCATGGGTGACGAATGACAGCGACGGCAAAGAACTGGTGGATGGAAGTGGGTATGACGATGTTGGCCGGGACGGGATCGAGAGGGTTTTAAAGCTGATGGTACAAAATGACCGAGAGCAAGATGAGCCAGCCGGTCCATGGGTGGGTGCCATGGGATTTAGTCAAGGAACCAGAATGGTGGGTGGATTGTTGCTGGATCAACAACGCAGAGCTGCCTCGGGCTGGGATGCGAATGAGGGAATCCAGTTAAAATTCGGAGTTTGTTGCATGGGAGCTGGGGCACCGCTGGAATCGGAAGTCTCAAAACGTATGTTTGCTTGTTATTCACTATCTGCTAATGTTTCTTCACGGAGTTATAATCGCCCGTGAGAAGTGTTGTCTCGTTCCTGCCCGACTTACCCTGCATCTACACTTTGGCAGCTTCTGTCGTAAAAATACTGACGTGTCGCAGACTTCAACTTTGAAGATAGCACAGTCTCGCTGCCTACATTGCATGTCCACGGGCTCAAGGACTGGGTACTGCCGCTCAGCCGACTCCAGTACGCGAAATACTATGACTCGAAAACCAAGAAATTGTACGAGGTTGATTACCATCACGCCATGCCATGGAACACACACGAGGTACAGAAATTGGCGGATTTAATACGGCAGATATATAAGGAGAATGCTTGAGACTGGGTGTACCACTGCTAGCTCGGGAGGAGTTGTCTTGTGGATATGGCAGTGGGACGAAGGTCGGGAAATGAGCTATTCAAGACGGAATCATAAATCATGCGAACAGATTTCAGGTTAAACTCATATAATAAAGATAGACATTGATTAGTATTCAAGACGCACTTTCCAAGCTGTTATCAGCTGTCAACTGGCAGACCAGATAGGGCAAATCAGAACAGCACAGGAACCATTTTCCGGCTGTCTCCGTAGTCTTGATCACAGTGCAAACCGCCATCATGGTGCCTGCAACCACATGGTTCCACGCGAGTTGAAAACAATGAAAACATTACTGAAAACATTGAAAACAAGGTTGAAAACACTGAAAACAATGAAAACAGGGGATAGGGCCACGACCCTAGTCACAACACAAGGGGCAACTATTTAAATGCGACCGTAAAATAGAATGCAGCTCTTGCAACTATCACAGCTGGACATCTTGAAAGGGTTTTATACTCCCTGCACGAGTAGCCATCGTTGTCATGATCAGCGAACGGCAAACCATCCCACCTTCATTAAAAAAGAAGCACTTTGCTGAAGGAAACTCAAACTTCCTTATGAAGGTTCCTGCTTCCCTGTTTTCAGTCAGAAACCAGGGAAGCCACCCGACTGGTCGGTATGTCACTATTCGCCTCCCCCCTCTCTCCATGATCAACACCATTACAGTCCTATGATGTCCGACATCCCTTACTTAAATATTGTTCACTTTTTTCTCTGTGGTGAAAAAGAATTGTACCTATTCAAGACGGGTCTCTGACAGGCTTCCACCATTCACATTTTGTCACATTATCATGTTGTCAACTGCAGCAGCTAACATCAATGCTTGCTAGGAATCATCCCGTCCCGTCCACATCTACCAGTAACGATAGGAATCTCATGCGATCGCAAATTCTCATTAGCGAAATATCAATTAAATGCACAAATCGAATTTGTTCTCAGAGTATCCGATTACTAGATCCCACAATCAGCATAGTATAAAATTAATGCTCCCACCGCAACATCCTCTCATTCTCCAATACCCTCTCCCCATCTTTATCCCCTTTCACAGCAACATTCACCAACACCTTTGCCAAATCATCCACCCAGATGGACGGTCCCATTCCAAAGACCAATGTCCTAAGACTCATTCCCCGTGCAAGAACCATCCCCGGTCGGGCAATATACACTTCTACACTGCTGTTGTTATCCTTTTCGTAGTCGGTTAATTCGTTCTCAACTTGTCCCTGTGCATATCCGTCATTAGTACCATGCCCTTCAGCCCAACGTAAACCATTATAACACCCAAAATATCTCGTATGAATAATCAATAAAGAGAGGGGAAATACCCTAATCTTCCTCGTCTCCCCCGCCATCCACAACGACCTACTCTGTTCCCTCTCCGACATCCCTCCGCTCAGATAAACGAAGCGGAACTTCTTCCCCCCTCCTTCAACCGAGGAAAACAAATGTGTGCCGAATGCCCTCATCGCAGCCATCGTGTACTCGACATTTATTTTCCGAGCTGTTTCGGTGTCTCTGGTTCTGTTCACCCCGATCGCCCTGTTTCGGTATCCTTGCATCAGCTTCATGGATATACTTACTATAGTTGTGAAGGGGATGGATTGGGAAAGTATACCAGATACACGCCTCCGCCCCCTTCAACTCCTGTAATAAACTCTCAGGGTATGTGAGGAAATCATCCACGAGCTTGGCCGTCAGCTTGGGGTTATTTGTAGGGAGCGGGCGCCGGGACAGCGCGATGATGGATGTGATGTGTGGGTTTCGGAGACATTGGGTGAGGATTTCCTGGCCGATGAAGCCGGTGCTGCCGGTGAGGATTATTTTCATTATAATTCAGCTACGCTATAGAGCTTGAGGGTATGGCATAGTCTGATGATATGGTGCTTATTGTTGTGAATGGGCGTTATTTGGTGTAGATATAATGGATGTAGGCTGTCGGAGATAACGGGGTTAGCTGGACACTGCCACTTTGATCTTCATCAGGCTGAATGGTTAGAGCTACTAAGGTGTGGAAGGATTCTCGTAGTATCCTATGTGCATTGGATTTACGAAGTGAGAATAGACAGGATTTGCACGAGTAGGGTTCTATGATTAAAGACGTTGTCAATCGTGATTCGTTATCTTAGAGTGGTTTAACAATAGGGCATCTAATCAGGTTGTCTCGCTGGAAGAAGCAAATATAAGAATATGTTGCGGGCGCATCTTGTCAATCGCAACCGAATGGCTACTGATGGCCCGGGTGATACTGGGGACCAGGCTGGTATGGCGCACCCGGTTGCTGATATTGAGGATTCGACTGATTTGGAGCACCATATTGGTGCTGCGGATCACCCTGATACTGGTATTGCGGACCAGGACCTTGTTGAGGTCCCTGCTGATACTGAGGCCCAGACTGGTACTGGGGACCAGGTTGATATTGCGGACCAGGGCCTTGTTGAGGTCCTTGCTGATATTGAGGCCCAGACTGGTACTGGGGCCCGGGTTGATACTGCGGACCAGGACCAGACTCGGGCCTAGGCGGATATTGAGGACCTGGTTGATATGGTGCTCCCTCGCCTGGAGCCGCCCCAGTATGAACCATCTGAGTATGCTGAAGATCCTCAGGTGCATAATCACTAGGACTCGGTCCCATGGGCGCTTGCACTCCAGCAGGAGCCTGGTCAAAGTTGGCATCACCCTGCGCAGAACGAATGGTGTGCGTCAACATTCGCACGGACGGGTTATCCGTGCGCACATGGCCGGTCAGGATCTCTTTGACAGGAATCTTCCGACCGTAGAACCTCTCATTCTCATCATTTCGCTCAATAACGATTGTTCCATCGATCTGCACCCCCGCATAGAAACCCCGACTCTTGACATAACACCAAATCGGCGCCCGGCGCTTGTGCACCTCCGACTCCAACACTCCGCCCATGCCAATCGGGCCCGCGGCAACAGTAATCTCGCTGCCCAGGGTCACTCTGACCTTGGTGAATGCTTCCAGCGCTTCATAGGTATTTATGACCATTACGCAGTCGTAGATATCTGCACCAACAAGGAATCCCAAACCAGCTGTGTGCAACAAGATTCCGGAAGGTGCACTCCACTCCCCGGTCTCCGGTACCCGGGCAATCAGAATGCCACTGCCACCAGCTCCACTGAACCACAAGCCCGTTCTCATGGCTGTGAACACGACTATTCCCTTAGCCTGCCGGATCACCTCGGAGGGGATCTTTTTCAACACCTTTTGCTTTCCGCGCGGCTTGTCAATTTTCTGTTTCGATGATGATGCTTCGTTGCTGTTGACAGGAGGCGCAGTGTCCGCGGCTGGCTCGTCCACGTAGACTCCATCTTTGCAGAAACTGCGGAGAATACGGGCGACCTTTTCGCTTTCTTTATCGAGGGTCATGGGCCAGAAGGCTTCGGAACCCAGCTTGTTGCTGAGTCGGTTGACCGGGGCGCCTAGCTTGTCGAGGGCGCCCCAGGCTTTGTCAAAGCCCATTTTTCCGTAGGTCTTGGTTTTATCCCACATCTTGTGGCTGTTTGTGTTGGTGGGTGGTTGTGACATTGTGAGGGTATTCGGTGGGTAGGTGGGGATAGGA